AAAAAAATAAAAAAAAAAAAAAAAAAAGAAATAGAAGAAGACACAAAGAAATGGAAGACATCCCCTGCTCATGGATTGGAAGAATAAATTATTAAAATGGCCATCCTACCAAAAGCAATATACAGATTCAATGCTATTCCAATCAAAATCTCAATGGCATTCTTCAAAGAAATAGAACAATATTGATGAAATTCATATGGAATCACCAAAAACCCCGAATAGCCAAAGCTCTGAAAAAAAAAAGAAGGAAATGGAGGCATCACACGCCCAGACTTCAAACTATACTACAAAGCCATAATCATCAAAACTGCATGGTATTGGAACAAGAACAGACATACAGACCAATGGAATCGAATAGAAAATCCAGAAATAAACCCACAGATTTATGGTCAACTAATCTTTGACAAAGGAGCAAAGACTATGCATTGGAGCAAAGAAAGTTTGTTCAATAAATGGTGCTGGGAAAACTGGGTCGCTACATGCAAAAGAATGAAGCTTGACCACTACCTCACACCATACACAAAAATCAACTCAAAATGGATTAAAGAACTAGACATAAGACCTGAAACCATAAAATACATAGAAGGAAATATAGGCGAAACACTACGGGATTTGCACATCAAAGACATCTTTACAGACACATCACCCAAAGCAGTGATAGTGAAGACAAAGATAAACAGCTGGGACTACATCAAATTAAAGAGCTTCTGCACAGCAAAAGAGACAATAACAAAAACAAGAGAAACCCCACCAACTGGGAGAACATTTTTGCACCCAACACTAATGATAAAGGACTGATCACAAAAATCTGCAAAGAGCTGATGAGACTCAGCAACAACAAAGAAAATAATCCAGTCAAAAAATGGGCAGAAGAGCTAAAAAGAAACTTCTCTGAAGAGGAAATGCAAATGGCCAACAGGCATATGAAAAAAATGTTCAACATCACTTGTAATCAGGGAAATGCAAATCAAAACTACCATGAGATACCATCTCACACCAGTGAGAATGGCACATATTAAAAAAACTAGCAACAACAAATGTTGGCGAGGGTGTGGAGAAAAAGGAACTCTTCTGCACTGTTGGTGGGAGTGCAAACTGGTCCAACCACTATGGAGAGCTGTGTGGAGATTTCTGGACCTACTAAACATAGAGCTTCCATATGATCCAGCAATTCCACTCCTAGGTATTTACCCAAAGGACACAGAAACATCAATTCCAAAGAGCACCTGTACCCCTATGTTTATAGCAGCACTGTTTACAATAGCTAAGCTTTGGAAACAACCCAAATGCCCAAAAATAGATGACTGGATCAAGAAGATGTGGTACATATATACCATGGAATATTACTCAGCATTCAAAAAAGATAAACACATGCAATTTGCAGCAACATGGATGGCGCTGGAAGGGATCATGCTCAGCGAAATAAGCCAGAAAGAAAAAGAAAAATACCGGATGGTCTCACTCATAGCAGGAATCTAGAAAACTTAAATAAGGGACCAGGAAAATGAATATAAGAAAGTGAAAATCAAAATCAACAAAAAACTATGAACCAGAGACACTTTTGGGGGGTGGGGGCGGGAGGGGAAGGATTGGGGTCAGAATGGGGCGTTTGCAATTGTATGGGGGAATATAAAAATAAAATTTAATATTAAAAAAAAAAAAAGAAAAGAGATGCAAATAATTTCAGATGACAAAATAATTTTGCACTTTGTTCTTTAATGCACTCAGATTCAAGATCACCCAGACACATTTAGACATTTTTTATCCAAACTCTATTGAAGCATGCTCTATAGTCTGTGTACTTGGCACTACATATATCAGGGGAATTTTGAAATCAGGTTGGTCTAAGGCTTTAATGATAATCTGCAAAACAGAAAACTCCAGTTAAAATCTGTCATTACTAATGTGAATTTTTTTTTGACAGACTCTACATGTTATTCAACATGCAGAAGTAGCTATTGGGCAACAAAGCTACTAAGTGGGTTTTTTTTTTTGTTTCATGTATTAAAATGCCTGTATTTAAACATATTTATAGTAATGAACTTAATTCTTTAATTTTAATAAACAGACTAGAGCTGAGTTCCTTTATTCTACATTATAAGGTGAAACCGCTTTAAAGTTACTATTTTGGAGATGTCATTTTGGCAACTAGAGATGGATCTCCATGCCTTTCCTGAGTGCTAGAAGCAAAATATGGCATTCCCTGAACTCCTGGTGCTTTTCTTCCCAAATGACCCATTCATTTAACAAATATTCACAGTACCAAGCTCTGTTCTGGGTGCTGAAATACAGAAGTTAACCAAATGGATAAGACACCCCGCCTTACAGGGAGGGACTTACAGACCAGAGATGGTAAAAAGCTTCCCCAGAATGTCAATATTGTCGAGGTAGTATATTCTTAACTCATTCTTGAAAGAGCAAATCCTAGTTATGTCACTTATGAGATGTATGAACTTAAGAAAGTCATTACATTCCCTGTGCCTCAGTTTTTATAACTATACAGTGGGGAATGAATAATGACTTCATAGTGTGAAAGTTAAAAGAAGTGGCATATGTGAGAGCACCCTAAGTGTGCCTGACACAGTCAATAAATCATATCACTTAACTTGTCTATTAGTATTTCTTTTCATGGAGAGCCCCTTTCCGAGAGGGCAGAGGGTCAATACAACTTGTCAAGAATAAGTGTTGTTGCTTTTTAATTAGGAAGAGGAGCACCAGCCCATTCTCACTAAGGCTTCAAGCATCTCAAGCACCTAAAAAGTACCTCCTTTTACCAAGATTTGCTTGTCTTATGCCCCAGGCAAGTACTCTAGGATTTTAATAATAGATCTGCCTCATTCCTCCTAAGATGAGTTAGTGTTTGTCTTGGGGACATAGATGAGACTATCATAAGCCCATGGGGGAGCCAAGTCATTAGAGAGCCATCACATCAAGAAGCCTAAGGAATCCATTCATGGCTGTGACTTTCCAGTAGAGACCATGGCATGGCCAGCAGCTATCTAGCCTAATCCTGCGACGCACAGAAGAGTCACTTACTGGCTGTTAAAAAGTCTCAGATAGCACTCAGTCAAACCAACATTCAATTTTTAAAAAATCAATCACAACCATCTGTCAGTAACTGTAAGGAAATCAATTCCAGTTTCCCAGAAGCTTTTAACCCTGTAGAGTCTGTAATCCTTTGATTTTGACCATGATGTTGGGAAAGGTGATAAGGGCCTTACCTGTTGTACTAATATATCTCCAATTCTACTGATGATGAAATTTCTATCACTGCCAGCACAGGATTCCTGCCTTCGTTCTTTCATACTGTAGAAGAAGAGCCGATGGATTTCAAGTAACTCATCTAAACAGGGAAAGATTTTATCCACTGTGCTGTGGTCAAGCTGCAGCTCCTCCTTCATCCCTTTCCTGAAGATCTCAGACATGATGAACAGGGTCTGGATGTGATGCATTTCTGTTTGCATTAGCTCTGAAACATGTGAGCAAAAACAACATTAAAAAAACTATGATCCCTAACCAACCTGAGGGGAGAAATCAAATACTGTCCAAAAATTAACAATGTAAGAAAAAGTACTTCATCTAAAAATAAACTTAAAAAAAAAAAAGCAACTGCCCATATTAACCTAAGTTAGTAGCTAAATACTGTGTGATACACAAATAAAAAGGGAAGAATATTTAGGAATAGAATAGTCTTCCACTATAAAAGTCAGCAGTGATTAGAAGTTTAATGTAAGTGCAAAAATTAACTATTTTCTTTTTTCCAGATATTACAAGAGAATACATATAATTCCAATATATAAGAATCCAATGTATGGGTAGCTGATATAATTAATTAGATACTTTCAGGTAAGAACCAGGTCTTAATCTCCCCTGGATGCTGTATAAAATATAACCTAATTTGCCTGTTTCCTTCCTTCTTTCCTTGAACTTTTGGGTTTTTGCATTTAGGAGGAGGCACAAATAACTTGGTGGATTAAATTAAATAAATATAATAAAGTTCCTTAAAGCGCACAAAAATGGGCCTTTTCTATTGTTGAATATGTCATCAAAATTCCACTTTTTCCAGTGGAAAATAATGTATCATGATTAGGCATATCACCAAGAAAGTGGGGGGAAAAAACCTACAAGATGGTAGAAAATATTTACAAATCACATATCTAATAAGAGACATATCCAGAATACAGAAAGAACTCTTATAATGAATATTTTTAAAACCCATAAATATTGGCAAAAGATTTGAATAGCTATTTCTCCAGAGATACAAAATGGCGAATAAGCACATGAAAAGGTATTCAGCATCATTAACCATCAGGGAAATGCAAAGCAAAACCAAAATGAGACACTTTCACACATCAGGATAACTGTAACAAAAAAAAAAGATAAACAACAAAGAAGTGTTGGTGAGGATACATCTCTGGTGAAAATGTAAAATGATAGCTGCTTTGAAAAACAATCTGGCAAATCCTCAAAAGGTTAACTACAAAGATACCATGGAACACAGAAAAGTAGAAACAATCCAAAATGTCCGTCACTGATTATTAGATGAACAAAAGGTGGAATGTATACAATGAACTATTAGGCAGCCATAAAAAGGAATAGGGTGCTGATATAACATGAGTGAACCTTGAAAACATTATGCTCAGTGAAAGAAACCAGTCACAAAAGACTACTTTACAATTCCATTTATGCAAGATGTCCAGAACAGGCAAAGCCAAAGAGAAGAAACTAGTGGTTGCTGGGAGTTGGAGGGGAAAATGGAGAGTGACTACTAATGCAGACAGGATTGCTTTCTGGAATGATGAAAATTGCTCTGGAATTAGAGTGGTTGAGGGTTTAATATGTGAACATATTAAAATCCACTAGATTGTACACTGTAAAGTGGTAGATTTTGGTGTATGAATTATATCTCAATTTTTAAAATATATCCTGAGAGAAAATAATAAATCAAATTAGATTAGTATTTCCAAGCTCACATGTTTTGCTATCCTGCCATTCAATACAAACAAACTGAAGTATAGTTTGTTTTTTTCTTCCTTTTTTTTTTTTTTTAAGATTTATTTATTTATTTATATAAGCACTGCATACAGTCAGAAGCCCAGGAGGGTGAGAGCCAGAGCAGGGAGCAGAACAGGTAGACTGATGAAGTACACTGCTGAGGGGAGAAGCAGGCAGCAGGAGAGGTCTGCGCACCATGTGGGGCCCTTGCCTGGCAGCCTGGGATCGAACCAGTGCTGCAGAGGCTGCGGGCAGCTTTGCAATCCAGCGCTCAACCACTGCACCACCGGGGAGGCCCTGAAGTATAGTTTCGTTTGCTGTGTTATCATAAACAAAAATCTCTTCAATTTGGAGCTCACTTTTTTATTATTTCCTATCATGTTTCTAGTGCCTACTCTGTACTATGCATTTACCCACATCATGTCATTTAATCCTTTAATCTGTTTGACCATTATGACCCCCCAAATAGAATTTTCTTCATCTTTAAAAGGTAACAAAGAAGAGAAAGTATTTTTAATAGAACAAATGATTTTCTGACACTAAAGACCATGCTGTGAGCAAGACATGTTTATCCCAAATAGGTTAGAAGATTTTTAGTAATTTATGAAGAGGTGAATGAAGAAACTTTACAGTATAGCACCAGGTGCCTCAGATACACTAACAGGGACAGCGTCTTCCTTTCCAAAGGAATGCCCACTACACAGCCCTGACAGCACTCTCATGGTCCTGACCTGTCCTGCACAGCCACCACCTGGCACGGGGAGACGGAGTCCTCACCACCACAGGACTTTTCAGCCCAATCTTTACACACAGGACAAGTGAGAAGAGCAATTACTGTCATACCAGGTATCTTCTTGGAACCACCACTTAGCTTTATACTTGAAAATTTTCTAAACTTCATTTTTTCCTAACTAGTCCACAATTTAACTTCTTCTAATTCAGACTGCCTTTACCACAAATAGCAGGCAGCAGGAAAATCTCATCAGAGCCACACTCCATGCTCAGGACCACAGAGCACATCAGACATTGCCTTAGCTCAGGGGCTGCCAGTTCCACTGGAATCTTTATGAATGCCCCTCTCCTCTCTGGTGCCTGCAGGCAAGCTACAGTTCCCCAAGGTGCAGCAGCCCAAAACACTCTACATTAAGATGCATGAAAATTCACTGTGACTCTTACAATAGAAGAGGTAAAAGAATATAGACCATACTTAAGTAAACTTAAAAAGGATATGAGAAATAAAATTTTCTTTGCACTAGATATATACCATGCCTCATTCAAGCCTCACAACATTTGATGCCTGAGTGTTAATATCCCCACTTGACAGATGAAGAAACTGAGGTAGAAGTGAGTTAAATAATTTGAGATCAAGTAACTAGAAAATAGTAGAACTGAGATTTCAGCCCAGGTCTGTGTGGTTTAAATGGCATGCTCTTTCCTCTAGACTATATTACTTTGGTTAATAGTTAATATTGGAAGTACTTACCAAAAATGACATCCTGTCTTTTGATGACATCCTTATCCTGCCTACTACAAAATGAGGGGTCCACCACAAGACTCCAAGATTCTGCTTCAAACTCCTGGGCATCACTGCTGAGGTCACTCCACAGAGAGGAATCCACAACATCTAATATGTGTTTAGGAAAAAAAGGCAGCAGTGGAACAACACATGTCACACAAACAGCACGTCACACATACACACATTGACAGACACATCACACTAAGTATGCCACAAACATGGCAATGATAAAAACAAAATATTACTGATGTGGAGTCAAAATATCTAAAAAGGAAACTTGTAAAATGGCCCAAATAAGACAGGCCCCATGGAAACAAAGAACCGGGTATTAAAACAGTAATTCCATGTATGCAAAAATACCAAAATAAAAGGCATTTGAGGATTCTTGTGCTTGTTTGTTTTGACTTGCTCTACTTTAGTTTTATTTCTGGTAACCCTCAGAGTCCACACATGCTTACAGAATCTGGAGACACTGATTTCTTTTGCCCCAGGTTATTATGGACTATTTACTTAAATCTAAATTTTGTACTTGCGCACTTGATTTGCTGTTTACCTGGCTTGTTGTCATTAATATAAACATGAAACAGTGTGTAAGAACTCAAGTCACACATGAGTACAGATTTTTCTGATGGAATTTGACAATAGACTCTCTCTCTCTCTCATCAGGAAAACTAAATTTTATTTGTACAAATGGCACTGCTTAAGGAGATTCCAGCTCAAAGCAGTAAAGATGACAATGGATTTAAAGACTTAAGTTTAAAATGAAAGAAACAAATTCCAGGGGCAGAGTCCACTCATTTCTCCTGTCATTTCTCGTCTTTCATTCAGCTTTCCTTCTTTATGGAAACAACCTGGATACATCAGCAATTCCCAAGATGAAGTGCCATCCTATGAAACATGCTTTAAAAAATGCTTTATTCCTCTTAAAGTAGGGGATAGGGATAAGTGGGGATAAATATCTCAGAGGATAAATGACAGATGGGGATAAATATCTCAGAGATCCAGGCAAGACCAGTCTTAATAAAAGTACATCTTTGTAATATACACTCCTACTCCAGGTCATCACTAGCTGTACAACTTCTTTTGAGGAATAACAAACAGTGTATTTTATTCTCTTCATTATGTTTATGACATACTCTTTTTTGGAATATGTTCATTTTAAAAATGAGTATTTCCCTGGTCACTCTCTGGAAGTTTCCTCCTGGGCTAAATGTTGGTTGCTGTAGTTTTTACAAGTGAAGCCTAAACAAACAAAAAAAAAAAGACACCACAGAACAGAATTCTTTTTAAAAGAAAAAGCCCTAAGTTTCACTTTTATATCTTTCAGAAAATATTTTTTGGCAAGTGCTCAAATCCTCCCAGGAACAAAAGAAAATGCACATGTATATTCTCCTCACCTTCCATTAAGAAAGATTCCGTGGAGGGAGAGGAGCCCATAGACTGTAACAGCTCATCGGAATGAGACCTGCTTCTCCAGTTGTTTGTGTCACTCTCAGGCTCCACAGACATCCCAGACCTCCTGAAGCTGGAGGGGTGAAGAAGGGAGAGGTAGGAGAAGAGTTAGGCCCGGCAGGGGCTCTGAGATGTGAAGATGGAAAACCACACTGCCCCTTACCTTTCCAAGGTGGTACCTGGAACACTTCTGGACATGGGAGGGACTGGGCCTGCAGTTTCCTTCCTCCCAGTTGGCAATCCAATAGGCATAGAAGAAGAAGGATGCAGGGAGAGACCAGGCTGTGGGACCTCTCTAAATGAAGAATCTGGAACTCAGAATGGAGGCTTCATGCAGTTTTCATAGAGGGCAGCAATCACCAATAAAGGTGGTCACTTCAGAGCCAGAGAGCTAGGCACCTGGATGTTCCAACATGTTGCGTGCCCAACCTTGACACCCGTCTCCCTGCCACATCCCGACACCTGCTGCAAATGTCCCTCCCATTTCACATGCTCCTGATCCCCATGCTGCAGGCCCGCTTCAGCATCTCCACTTGGAGACTGTGGGCGTCTGGGATTACACAAACAAACAAGAATATGGAATGGGGAAACACTGGAACAGCTTTCCCATAAATCTGTGCTTCCACTCTTTAGAGACAGCTTTAAATAGATGCAAGGTGTTATTAGCACTATTACTAGTGTGCACATTGTATATAAAAACAAGCACACACGCACACACAGAGATCATGTCAATGGATTGGAATGATGCTGAGGAGTCTGTTTTTCAGGGTTTAAGAATTATAGGCAAAAGAAATATACAAGCCAGACTGGGCTGTTCTATCTCATGTACAGAAAATGAAATGGTGCTTTAACACATTTCTGTCACAGGCATACGTGCATTGACATTTGATGTATACCATAATTGACACTCAGAAAATATTTTAATGCTGTAATATTATAGATGTAGTATCTATCTTCTCAATAAAAGGGGGGGTTTATACAGACCCCCAGGGCATAGGAGGGAGTTTACCCAAACATGATTTAATTTTATCCTCATGACTCCCAAGTAAAGAGAAAGAATAGATGGTATTTTACCAATTCTAAGATATTTTTTATCTCCATGCTTAGCCTTATGAAATTGAGATATATCTCATTACTAAAGTCAAAGGAACTTCTGGGGTCAAAGTCAGGGAGTAAATGATGCAACAGTTGTTACTGCCTGCATTTACTTAACTTTGTGTAATATCACACCAATCGTATGTCACCAGGAATTTGCCCACTTCATTGTTCCCCGATTCAAGTGTTTTTTAAAACCCTGGTCACACTTCGTTATAGCATTGAAATGAAAAGTGACCACAAAGTTACAAGGTCTGATGCGTGGCAAGCAGTGCAATTGCAGACAGAAGAAATTGCAAAATCTCACAACAAATCATAGGATTTTCAAACTTAGGAGGTAATGGTGTTACTGGTTCTGACATGCGATATAAACAACTGCCAAAGGCCACCAATCATTTTCAAGGGAAACTGTTTAATTTTCAGCGATGTGTAATTCAGGGAAAACAGAGCTACCACGCTTGACCATTATGCAAACAAAACTCCAATATGTCTTCAAATTGCAGCCATCCTAAAGGAGCTGTTGAGATCACAGCCTCAGGCAGAGCTCACAAAACGCACCAGGTTGCTATGACATTGGACAACAGGGACTGAGAAGCATCTGTAGATCCCAAATATGAGGATTTTCCCCCCACTTTGTGATTCTTAAGAAACATGTGGTATGTATTTGTATGGATAAGTAAGTGCTACTGATAGGAAAACATAAAATTGTATACATTTCATGTACCTCCTTTCGCCCCCCTAAAGGTTACTATTAAATCAATGGTGCATATTCACTACATTCATTATAGCTTATATTTGAGACACACCCTCTCTCCTTCCATGTAGTGCCCACTAACGTAAAAATGCCATAGATTACACAGAGCTCAAAGCCTATCAGGCTGGCATAGAAGCTTGTGCCATTCTGTACCTCTTTGTATAAGTGAAAATTATGTCAAACATATGTTATAAAAGAAAAAATAACTCAGGCAATGACACAAGAAAAGGAGGGGGTATTTCACACTGGAAAAATGTGTGGTGTGTACAAAACTGAAAAAAAGCTTGTCGCTTTCCACATCACTTACTTCCAAGGATGGTCTGCGGTTTGTTCTTGTTATACTTCTCCTGGAATTTCTGGTAAAGAACATTAGAAACACACAAAATAAGATCAAAGCACCACTGGACTATAAGAATGTCCACACAGTGACACAGAACAGCACTGACTGCTGTCACTGTTACTGTATTTCAAACAAAGGAATTCCTAGCAAAAGACATTAAATACACCAAGGAGAAAAATGCTATGACAGTGAGCCACACATGTCATAATGAAGACGAATGTGAATCTCACAAATATCCAGCTTTATTAAAAGCCTCAGGGGAATCAGAAATCTCCAGGTCCTCTGTCCAGACCCAGGCTGAAAGGGGAACACTCATCTTTCTCCTCCTTGTTCTTGCTCTGCCTGACTATTCCTCCTGCCTCAGGACACTAGGACCTCAAGCATGGAAACATCACTCTCGACTCTGCTGACACACTGTATGTTTCAAATAACACAGAGGTGGCAAATCCAAGCTTCCCTCTGAGAGGCCATCATGCTATATCATGCATGTGTTTTTGACATGACTGTACAGTGGGAAGGAAAGGAAAGGAATGTCTCTAGCTACTCAAAAACCCAACCCCCAATGCATTTCTCTTCTCTAGTCCAGTGGATCTCACATTGTGATCCCGGGACCAGCAGCATCGCAGGATAACTATACACTTTGAGCATGTGCTATTGTATCCCTCAATGACCGCTTTAGAAATAAACCCAGATCATTCAAGTAAAACCCTAAGCCAGTAATATAAAACAATCAGCTAGATACAAACATGTAGTCTTCACAAATGGAGAGATTACCTTGGTACATGGAGGTGCAGTCTCTTTACAACCCTTATGTACATTTGCATTACAGTCTGAAAAAAAGGAAAAAGATGGTGTTCATCTCACTTAAGTGAAACTGAAATAAGACAACATGTTATGCTTTTACTGATCAGTATAAAAATAATACACTAACATTAAAAGTGTTTAGAAAACATAAAAATATCTGCTGCATCACAGGTGGCCCCACCATTCAGTACCAGCACACTGTTAACATTTTAGTTTCCCTGGAGAGATTTCTCCCATTCTGCAGAGAGCCTTTTCTTTTCTTTTCTTTTCTTTAAGATTTATTTATTTATACAAGAGCCAGGAGTGCAGGAGGGTGAGAGGATTCACCAGAGACGGAGCGGGGAGCAGAACAGGCAGATGGACTGAAAGCACTACTGAGGGGAGCAGCAGGTGAGACAGGAGAGGTCTGCCATTGCATGTGGGTATCTCCCTGGCTGGCTGGGAATCAAACCCTCACTACAGGGGCTACAGACAGTTTCACAGCGCTGCGCTCAACCCGCTACACCATAGGGGAGGCCCTAGAAGGCCTTTTCTTTCTTTTTTTTTTTTTTAATAGAGGCATGTTTTATTTATTTATTTGTTTGTTTGGTTTTTTTTTGTTTGTTTGTTTATACAAGCACTGGGTACAGTCAGAAGTGCGGGAGGGTGAGAGAATTCACCAGAGCCAGTGGGGAGCAGAGTAGGCAGAAGGACCGAAGTACACTGCTGAGGGGAGCAGCGGGCGGCAGGAGAGGTCTGCGCGCCAGGTGGGACCCTCCTCCGGTGGCCGGGGAGCAGCCGGGGATCAAACCGGCGGCGCTGCAGAGGCCGCGGGCAGCTTCGCAACCCAGCGCTCAACCGCTGCGCCACCGGGGAGGCCCCCTAGAAGGCCTTTTCAACTATGAAACCTGGAATTATGCACAGCCTACTTTTCTGCATCTGCCTGAGAACTCACTACTATGTGCCCTGAATGGTAAGGGATTTCTGACTTCTGATTGGTAGCAAATGGCAAGATGCCTATGGAGATAGAAAGAGAGAACAAATTTACAATAGTGCTGAAAAAAAGTGCTATCAAAAAAGGCCCCACCTGAGAGGAGTTCCTACTAATTAGAGAGCCAAACTGGAAGCTAGTAGCTTGCCTATTTTTACTTCATGAACCTAAGTGGCCTCACCTCAATGAAAGAAAGAAAGGAAATGCTTGGGCCTGTCTTCATGGAAGCTGCCTCACCTCTGGGTTCTATTTTTGCCAGGATGCTCTGGTCTCACCCACTTTCTCTCCCTCCTCACTACCACCCACCATGAGTCCCTGGCCATCCAGCCCCACGCATTCTGTACAGGTGGAGGAGCCTGAGACTTTTTGGAAACTTCATAAGAAGGAATCTTCCATGGGGAGAAGGATCTTTTCAGGTCCATCAAAGAGGCTTGGGCAACAACCATGACCATCGCAGGGGCACCGAAGCATTTAGCCAGCACCTCACTGGTCGATGAGCAGAGCCCAGGCTGGTCTATGCAAGGGTCCTGAGGCAAACATAAAAATCAATGCTCGTCTCACTCCAGAACAAATGGGAAAGGAAGGGGGAAAGCAGAGCCTATGAGATAAACAGAACAAAGTTATACTGAAAACTCACAGGAAGAGGGAGTCACTGAAAATTAAATCTAGAAAGAGAGAAATTTAGATATTTCAAGTGTATTCTCCATAAGGGAAAGAAAACAGACATGAAATAGGACCCAGAGGCCAAGAAGGGAGAACAGGATGTGACAACAGGCCAACAGGATGAGAGGGAAGTGGAGCTTTGTGAGATGAGAGAGACCGGCAAGGGAGACAAAGGGAACAAGGGAAGAAGAAAAATCAAAACGAGAAGAACCAACATGACACAGATATCAAAGCAGCACTGTGAAATTAAACTTGAAAGATTCCCTCCAGAACGTAGAGAAAAAGAAGGGTGTAATCATAAAAGAGAAGATGTCATACAAAGAGACAGCAGAGCTCACACCTCTCCAAGGAAGAAATCAAAAAAATGAGGTCAGAAGCAATAGTCAAAGTTACAACAGACAAAAAGTTTTATAAAGCTTAAAAAAAGAACCACAAAGGGCAAATTAAAAGATCTCATCTTTCTCTAGGAAAAATTATTAAATGACACATTCCTACAATATTCGTACAATGAAAAAACTACAAGTCCTCAGGCATCCAGGCAGAAAAATCAGGTTGTCAAAGGAGGAGTAAGGTCAGGCAGCCCCCTAGACACTTCTACTGTAATATTAAATACCCAGATAGAACGGACCCATGTTGGGGCAGGGGGAGGAAAGGTTTTGACCTAAGAAATTATTTAGTTGGCAAGTGAAATCAGTCAGAAAGACAAAGACCAATACCAGATGATTTCACTCATATGTGGAATATAGAGAAACAAAGGGACTGACAAAATTAAACCAAAACAAACTTAAAAATTGAGGGGGGATGGAGGGGGGCTTAATGCTTTGTGAAGATTGTGGGTGCCTTGGTGGTAGGTGAGAGGTGGCAACATACATCTGAAGACATGTGAACCTATACCCTAAATCATATACTGTTATAAGCTGATGTTACTGCAATGAAAGTTACAAAAAATAAAAAAAAAAAATTAAAGAAATTATTTATCTAGGTAAATTGTTTTTCTTGTATGAAAAAAAGTTATACCTTTAGAGCCACAAAGAATTTAGATACAGATTTCAGAAGACAGGTTTTAGAACTGATCAGTCTGATAACCATCTTGAAAAAATAATTACCTGAAATCCTTTTCTACCCTATGAAGAGTAGAATCAAAATTAAGAGTTCAAGAAAGGATCAGAGTCTTTTTTGCAAAGAAATTTCAAGTAAAAGCAAGTACTAAAAACAATTAAACTAAAAATCACATCTAAAAATTTGTTGTAAGCTTGACAAAGACTGTATACAAATATCAAATTATTCTTGAAATAGAAAATCATCCTTGGATTAAACACAGAATATAAAAACAGTGAATTCATTGTACTAATAAAGGTTGGGGAGGGGTTAATATGAGGGAAATAAAAGAGCAATTATAAGTCTTACACATTCTTAGAGTTCTTAGTAGTAGATATTAAAAGAGAATATCTTGCCAAATCCTTGGAGAAGGCAAAGGCAAAAACATATAAATAATATATTTTCTAAATAGCTAAGAGACATCAAGGAAAATCACAAAAAACTATAAAAGTGGATAGCCATAAAGTTAAATGTAAATAAGAAAAAAACTCATTATAAAACAGGGTCTTTCAGTTACATTACAGATTACATATCACTAAATTAAAAACATACACCCCAAATCAAAAACACAGAAATAGGGGAAATATAAAAAGAAAAAGGTAAGCAAAAGGAGTACTAATTTTTTTTAAAGAGGTAAAATTCAGTGCAAAAAGCATTTGGTAGCATTAAAAAAGTGATTTTATACTGATAAAAGTTAAATCTATAGTGGAGTTATAATTTGTGCACTTCTGGGCACTGAGCAATGTAGCATCAAAATAAACTGTGGTGTCTATTTATCATCAATCAAGGAGAATTTTATACAGTTTTTGTGGACAACTAGTAATGGGTTTAACAGGAAAAAATGGTATCAGAATCCTAATTATTTAAATACTTTGTTTTATATGTTGTTGAGATTAGAAATAGTAACCGTCACGGTTAAAAACAAAAATATACCCATGAAAAAGAATTATCAAACAATAGCAGTAGTTTATATGTCATATTCTCTTAGCAATGTAAAAACTTTAATATTAAAAATCAAAGTTTAAATCCACAACATCTCCCTCCCTTAAAAAACTATTAACACTAAAACTTCTTAAAAATACTATGGGTTAAAGAGGAAATTAAATATATATTCATAATTCTAAAATTTAACCCAAGGCAATAATCAAATGTGTGGATGTGACATGTGCAAAAGAACGCTCCTTGCACCATTATGTCATGAAAAAATTGGAAAAAACTTAAATGTACCATAAGGAATAATTAAACACATTTGATATCATCATCAAATATAAAAGGCTGACATTCTTATTATCAGAAAGGATTCCATCAAAATAGCAATTACAATTTTTTCTAGGTAATACAATTTTGAACAACTCTGAGTTTCTCCTTCAACCTTGTGCCTTCTATGAATCCTTCTGCATTAAATAATGAACTTTTAAAGCTAAATATCATGATAGACTCTCAGCAATTCCCATTCCATGGCCATCCACTTGACTAACCCAGTATAACCCAATATATTCTTCAACAAATACTGGGCTTTCAGTGAACCCTGACTTTCTATCAGTCCTTAGCTGCATAGGAGTGTCTGAAGGTCCAGCTTTGTGACAGCTGCTGCAGGGGATACAAAAGAATTATCATGTGATTATAGTCTTGAAAGAAACTAGTCTATTCTAGGGCCTCCCTGGTGGCACAAGCGGTTGAGCACAGTGCTGTGAGCTGTCTGCAGCCTCTGCAGTACTGGTTTGATCCCCGCTGGCTGCGGAGATACCCACATGGCGCAGCAGACTCTCCTGTCTCACCCATTGCTCCCCTCAGCAGTGTATTTCAGTCAGTCTGCCTGTTCTGCTCCCTGCTCTGTCTCTGGTGAATCCTCTCACCTTTCCGCACATCTGGCCTGCACCTGGGTTCTTGTATAAATAAGTAAATCTTAAAAAAAAAAAAAAAAAAAAGAACTTATACCTAACCCAATATTAAATGCAGTAGGATAAATGGATCATAAACATCATATGCAGGAACTTAGGGCAGAGTAGTCTGGGAAGATTTCTCAAAAGCAGACAAGAAATCTGGACCAATGCAGAGGAGAAGGGGAAACAAAGAAAGGAGACTATCATAAGCAAAGGGACAGAGGCAGAAAATATATGCAGTGGGAGAAAAGGCAGCAGGCCTGGCGAGGTCTGGGGAGGCCACTGCTGAGAGGGGGCATCTGCAGGACCAGCCAGCAGGACACAGGCAGGGCGCCAAATGGCCAAGTGAAGAGCTTAGACTAAGCACAGTAAACAAAAAGAGAGGAGACCTTAAGTATAAGAGGGCTGATGACAGCATTTTTTACAAAGATTAATGTGGTGAAAGTACTCAGAATAAATTACAAATGAAAATACCAAGGGAGCAGGAAACCAGCACAACTTGCTGTCAGCATCCAGAAGGCAGTTATGAGACTCTACCCAAGGGGAGAATGGAAATGGGTGGGGGTGAGGGAGGTAAAAGGGAAGAGCAGTCAAATGCCCATGGACTGAGCTTGCACCATTAATACAGCAGGAGAGACACCTTTTGCATGGGTATTTTGGGGAGAGTTTCAGCCACTCTTTTCTACGAGACAACCCAACAAGATCCCCACACAAATGGTCACTCCAAGCCAGTGTGCCTGCAGCTGTTGTAAATATCTGTAGTCCTGCCATAATTCTCAAAAGTGGTTATAAAATGACATGGGGGCTCAATCTTCTTAGCCTACTGGAAATAAAGTAGAAAATGAGGGATAAAGACAGGAATCTGGGAAGAAGCAGCTAAATATAGTATTTTAGAACAAAAGGCTGGAGGCCTGTACTTCTAAACAATAAAGAGGGAAAGAGCACATGCCCGAGAGCTGAGTTTGGAGGGAGCGTAGAGTCAGGAAAAAGGAGACAATACAGGCCAGATTTGGGGGCACAGGAAAGGCAGCATTCACTAAACCCAGGAGCAACAACATGAAAACCAGGAGACTCGTGAGTCTGAGCAATGCCGACTTTCTAACTCGACTAGAAACTGACACCAAAGCAGGATTTCTGTTAAGCAGTGAGGACAGACACCTAACATAATAACTGAAAAAGTCTCAGGGATCGATGTGAGAGCAGCAAATGGGGATCACCCAACTCGGAGAGTTTGTCTTCTAATTCATCGAGAGAAAAGTCTTGGATATGGCGGGAGTTTCAGTGGAAGGAACGCAGCCCTGAGAACAAAGATGGAGCCACTTCCCATGAAACACACCATCACACACGTACCCCAATTGCTGACCGTGGGCAAGCCAGAGCTACCCCACAGCAAAGCTGACAGCGCACTGGTGCAGGGGGAGAGAAGGGAGTAGGATCAAAACAAGAGGGGTGGGAATTGGATGGGTTATCACCGAGATGGCATCACCGAAGACAGTGTCAGCTGTGAGAAGACAATGTGATCTGTCTTCATGCCACATGCAGACTGTATTTTCATCACATGCACAACTATTGACACAACATGGATGATTTTTAATTGTTTTCTAGAAGTTTAATGAGGAACTTACCCTGCTCTTCTCTCTGTGCTCCCATCCCACCCCCAAAATGTTTCCCTAATTCTGACAAGTAGCAAATACCGTGAAATGTAGTTCACCTGCCTGGGGCTGAATTCTTTTGCTCTGAATTATTCTTTCACTCTATAAATATTTATTAAGCCCCTACTATGCCTAAGGCATTTTTCTAAGCACTGTGGAAACAGCAGGGAATAAAGTCAATAGACAGAAATGCAGTCCTCATAGAATTTAATTCTGATAAAGGAGACAGATTAATAAAGTCCACACATAAAACATGCACTTGGTTCTATGGTGTTAACTACTGTGCAGGGAGGAGGGGTCAGGGAGAGAAGTGAGCCAAACATAGGGTGGTCAGGAAAGACGCCACACAGAAGCTGTCATCAGAGCACTGGAGTTGGTGAGAGAGAGCCCAGGCACCAGCCGAGGAATGAGAGTTGCAGGGAGTAGGCAGCAGGACAGGTCCTGTGTGGCGCGGCATGCCTGGCAGGCTCAAAGAACAGCAAAGATGCCAAAGTGATGGGAGAAAGGGGAAGAGAAAACAGGGTAGATCATGGGACCTGGCAGCCAATGTCGGGGCTTTGGCCTTGCTCTGGGATAACAGGAAAACAGGGGGGATTTGGAACACAGGGAACTATGCCTTACCAAGTTCACTCTGGCTGGTGTCTTGATAACAGACTTTAGGGAGTAAAATTTGCAAGAAATCATTTAGAAAGCTACTGAAATGGTGGCTTAAAACCTGGCTCATAACAGTGGCAGGCATGAAAAGTGGCTGGTTTTCACAGAATTTAGAAGACAGAGTAAAAGAATTGCTGAGGGATTTAGATGTGGATTGCAAAAGCGAAGCATACAGATAGACTCCAAGATTTCTGGCATGAGACTGTGGTTGGAACTGCTGTGAACTGAGGGGGATCAGCATGTAGGTAGACACAAGAAGGGCAGAGCAGAGCCCCATTTTGGAGAGGGGACATCTGAGAAGCTGTGTGGACACCCAGTGGAGGTATCAAGTAAGCAGAGAGGTGTACACGTCAGAGCTTCCAGGAGACAATCACTTGTGGACAGAAAGCACTCTCTAGCCATCCCAGGTCAAGCTTGGTACATCATTCGGTCATATGCACCACATTAAACAAAGGTATGCGTGAATATGCCCAGAAACAAGCCCAGTCTGAGGAAGCAAAACACAAAACACAACACTAGGCTCAAGAACTTACTGGAACACTGGAGTGATTCTTTTCCCAGGAGTGTTTTATCACAAACCAGACACTGTACAACCCCAGAGAACATTCCAGGGATGAATTGGTGTCGGCTCAGTTTCTCTTTGTCTTTGGCATCCTTGTTTTTTGTCTTCAGAGTAGCAGCAGCAGCAGCAAAGTGAGGGAAATGAGAAATGTTGAAAGTCGGTCTGCTTATAGAAATCATACAAACAATCTATATCTTCCATCCAAAAACAAAGACACACATGGAGAAATATAGTAACACCAAATACAGCACCTCCCGGGAGTGGCACTACTGTAAGACTAGCTAGTTGTCTTAGTTTTTCAAACAGCTTGGACAATATCCCATCAGAAAGAGAGAGATCTTCAAATACATGTGTATACAATCTAAGGTTGCTGACTTTAAACGGAAAGTAGAAACTAGAGTTGCTGAGAAACTGGAGCCAACTATGTCAGTAGACAATAGGCACCGAACCCTCCTTACCTTAGATTTATTCCGAGGACTAGTCATCCTGTTCATGAGGAAGCTGAAAGTCCGGCTCACTTTATATTTTTCAGAGTCTGATTTGGCAGGTATGATGTATTTATCCCATTCTTCCTCCTGAATTCTATAAAAAAAAAAGAACCTGTTATCATGATTATAATATTTAAAGAGGGAGCTAAATCCAGCATATTCATTCATACAGGTGTACAAGTATTCAGCTCTTCTGTACACTGAAAAGGTTTGTAACAAAATATTTGAGAAATAACGGAGATTATAAACTTAAGATTTTACTCTGAAAACACTCATCTCCCTATTTATGATGCTAATAGAGATTTCCCCGAGCACAGGAGAAGCCAAAAAGCAGTATGAAACTGGGTTGTACTTATTTTTGGACATAGAGATCATACTCAGCAGACACATGTTTCCTTTGTCAATATATCCTGGAAAACAAGCCATCTGCCTCTTGCTTCAGGCTTCCCCACTCAACCAGACCATTTACTAGCTGAGACTCACTAGGTTTAAAGGCGAGAAGACTGAGGATATGTCCCCAACATAAGAGGCAAGTAAGTGTAAATTGTACCAAATCCATGAATATCATTTCTTTTCCTCTAATCAATACAATCATTCTTTAGGGAAAAAAAACCCAGCTATGAAAAGTTATATTTCCACTGGAACTTTCTCTGATAAAATTTTAGATTTCTAATATTATTAGGGAAAGAATGAGAAAGAATATATTAAATATTAACCTACGTATCACATCAAAATGCCTATGTCTGTAGGCTCAGTATTTCCAAAACAAATGTCTCATAATCAAAATCCTTCCTCAACCTTCTCATTTGCCAGCATTAGTGGCTAACACACTCATCCCTAGGAAATAGTCTTTTTTTTTTTAAGATTTATTTATGCATACAAGAACTGGGGTACAGGCCAGAGATAGGGGGATGTATGTGAGATGATTCACCAGAGACAGAGCAGGGAACAGAACAGGCAGCAGATTAACTGAAATACACTGCTGAGGGGAGCAGTGGGGTGAAACAGGAGAGGTCTGCTGCACCACGTGGGTATCTCCCTGGCTGGAGATTGAACTCGTGCTGCCGTGGCTGCGAACAGCTCCATAGGCTGCATCTCAACCCACTGCACCACCAGGGAGGCCCAGAAACAGTCTTTAAAAACTATCATATTATGGATTCAGACATATATATATATATATACATATATATATATGATTACATAAGAAAATACTAAGTTCAATGACAACTTTGTTGGACTTCAGGTTTTCTCATGTGATTGGTGACAGGCTTAGACTAAATTATCTCTAAGGCTCCTTCCCACACTGAAATACCATATGTACTTACTTAGTATATAGTATCACAAACCTTTAAGTTATTTAACCTCAATAGTCAATATTTGAGAGTTCAAATGTATGAATCCACTTAGGAAAAAAACAGTAAATGGCTTCTGAGCTATCTCCTGCCATGCTGATCTAAGGACATAGGCATATCGTGATACTCAAATCCTGCTCAATAAATGAAACTGGGTTTGCAACTTAGAACCCAGTTTTTAAAAAAAGTTAGAAAGATGGGGGCCTCCCTGGTGGTGCAAGGGGTTGGGCACCACACTATGAAGCAGTCCGCAGCCTCTGCAGCACAAGTTCAATTTCCAGCCAGCCAGAGAGCAACCCACATGGCTCAGCAGACCTCTCCTGCCTTGCTCACTGCTCCCCTCAGCAGTGTATTTCAGTAGATCTGCCTGTTCTGCTCCCCACTCTGTCTCTGGTGAATCCCTCACCCTCCTGTGCATCTGGCCTGTACCCCAGTTCTTGTATGCATAAATAAATAAATCTTTTAAAAAAAAGTTAGAAAGAGGGTGAATAGAAAGGAATGCAGCCTATGACTACCCAGAGTAACAAAAGGAACTCAGACCCTTTTCTTTCCTTTCTACACCCACAGATACCTCTGGTCAATTTTGCCTTAATAACTGAATGATTAATATTATAGGTAAAAATTCCATACCTCTTGGGTCCTAATTTTAAAAACAGATGGCATAATATTCCACAAGTTCTTTTTGAAATGGAGAAAAACACGTTCGAGAGCTTAGAAAAAAATCCTCTCTGGAAAATCTTTTGTGACTTTACCAAGTGCCATACAAGACCACGAGCAGGGTAGGAGGCCAGAGATGGTGAAGTCAATGTGAATCTTGTGGTCAAGAGTCCTCTCCCCCACTTCCTAGCAGGATACACCTAAACTCTTTCAAATCAAATAAAATTGATTCTTGTTCACTCAACTCTCCCCCAGTTCCCCATGCTATAGAAGATTATATCAAGAACAATGTTTCAGTTTTGATAAAAATATATAAATGTATCACAATTCACCAAATATCCTATCTACCTATACAGAATGACTTAAAATCATACCACTTAGCTTTTAAGCCAAAAACTGACAAAACTTGAGAGATGATAAAGTAAACATAAAAATACTGAAAAACTAAATATTTGAATCTCAGATGAACCATCCAAACTGGTAGCAATGTAGATACCACAGACACAATTTACATCAGATTTTGAGACAAGATAACATCAAGAAACCTCTGGACAAAGGTGGAAATTTGTTTGATTCCATGTTTCAAATATAACTTAACTATGTGGTTTTCACCTATATAAAAATGAAGTACCATACAGAAAAATTGAGAAGGGAAAAATCCACAACTGATTTCACAACAGAATTTAAATAACTTAATTTGCAAATATCAAGGGCGGGTGGAGAATCATTTAAGCCCTCTTCAACATCCCAAATGAGAATGTTTAACCTCACCTATCAATTTGAAGACCAATGAATCACACCCAATACTTTTTTTACAAACCTATTCTTCAGCGATTCTCTTGCTATTGCCTTTTAAAATATCTTAAGAAAGTGTATACTTAGTATCTTAATATTTAACCTATTATTTCCATAACCTTTTTTTTAAAGAACCAAGCACTTCAATGTTTAAAAAAATTCCCCACTATCCAAATTAAAAATTGACACAGGAGACTTCTTTGAGTACTCAGATGCTCCGTTTTTGGTTTGTTTGTTTTTTTTTTCAATAACAGATTTAAGGCAATAATAAATAACTGGTAATAAAATAACAGTCATGCCATATAATCTTGAAGACACTGGGAGGGCTGGAGCTTGTGCTCCTTTAGAAATGAGCTTGCAAAGTCTGGAATGAGTCCCCCTTCGAACCTGGCCACATTCTATTTCATAAATTAAGTGATTCATATAAATAAGAGCATTCCAAAGAAGGCTGACTTTTGAGCAAAGATCTGCAATATGACCGAAGGAAAGCATTAGGTATGCCCGGGGCTCTTTCTGGCATATCCAACAAGACATCAGAATAGAATAGTAGGTGAAATGAAAAATCTACTGGACTAGAGAACCAGGGAATATGACAAAGTCTGATGCTTTCAGAAGGCATTTTTTTAGACCATGATGAACCAAAGAATAATAACTTTTTAAAGACCAGGAATGAGAAGACAGAAAAGGATAATCCCCATACATTTCACCCAAATTAAAGCCTTTATCGGCAATATTTAACCAACTACAAAATTGGCTTCTCCAACTTTAAATCCCTCTCCTGATGGAAATAAATCATGTTGGTTCTAAAATATCTTTAAATCAGTCCATGACTTCTCCAATTGTTACAAAACTAATAGGGAAAAAACTGCTAATTAAGATGACCGAGATGACAGTGAAATTGCAGAATTAATAACTCGCTTAAGGACAGAGTATCTGTAAGCTGCTTAACACAATGCAAGGCAAATAAAAAAAAAAAAAACTCAAAATGATCAGTTATTTCCGTGGCTGCTGTCCTCACCGCCACTGTCAAGTCACTTTCATCATTGTCATCCAGTCCTTATGGGTCATTCTTAGTATCCCTCTGTATCATTTCTATGCTAGTATCAAATATAGGAATGAACAAAAGGCTTTTTCTTATCGATATCTTTATTACAAGACTTAAAACAAATAGTACAACTTGATCTATGTATTTACCAGTTTCATACTTCAGCAAAATTGATCGTTTTCCTCTTTTTCACATGGTCTCTCAGAGTCAAACATTTAAGCCATTCCTCACACTTGTTTTGCACATAGCCCGGGGCTATTTCATAGTGTGACTTCTCAGCAGAAAAGGATAATCAAGCAGCTAGTTACTCAAGACCAGCAGAGCTCAACCACCCAGCAACAGCCCTACCTTATAGGGAAAAGAACCTTTAAGCTTCCAAATCTGCCTATCAGTCAGAAAACTGATAATGCTTAAAGTACTCTCTGCATCATTTATTTTTTGTTTCAAACTTAGCACTTTTAAGCAATACTTTATAAAACAGACATCAAAGATGACAGGTACATTCTATAACCACCTAGGGGCTGGTTCCCCTGTTAAGTCTTTTTGAAGTCTTTTTGTCACTAAAGAGGGGCAAACCTGATGCTTTTCTTTCTTTTTTTTTTTTTTTAAACTTGATGCTTTTCTGAAGCAGGTGGTCTACACATTGTTCCCCTTGTTTCTGTACATGGGATCCGTATGGAATAATATACCATCCCCAGTTCTGAGGCCTGCATATCTAGGGACTGAAAGACGAGAGCTGGCCAACCCACAATGATACACAAGCACAGGGAGCAAAGGATTCAGGCAGGCTCATTGCACAGAAACTTCTCACAAACTGCTGAACAGAGATCCAAAATGATGTACAAGTATTTCCAAAGGTGGAGCAAGCAGTCCCCTCAGAAATTTGGAAAAGTTAAAATACCTTTTTTCTCCTGGTGGCTCCGGTAAGCTGTAAGCTCTTTGCTCTACAAGACACAGAACAATATAATGAAAACTAAGGCCGATGAGCTAGCACTCATGTGTTAATCTAAAACATAAATACGTAATCATGTTTTGTCAATACACATACCACCAGTTAGGAACTAATGAGAAAACAAGTCATTTTATAGAAGCAGGGAATTGCTCTGGATACCTTTATCACTTTCCCTAGATTGGAGAGAATGAACAGGAGGCCAAAACATGGTAACATTTCATGTCTTCATGAACTAAGTTAGCATCAGCCAAGGGCAGCAAACATTTTCAGAATTGCAGAAAATTAGTTCTATCTCTTTGGCTACTTCTCTCCAGAGCTTCATCCCTTATCCATAACACTAATCCCCCCAACACAGAGAATCAATAAGTACCTTAGCTCTTGTATAGCAAAGCTCAAAAGAAAAGTCTTCCTTAAGGCCAGCATAAGGAAGAGTCCATGTTTAATGTAGCTACCACCCCTTTATAAAATCCTTGCAGCAGCCAGTTCAGGGAGGTGCTTTGTGGTTCCTGGGAAGGGAAAACCACCTTTCCCAGTGTGCTATTGGGGGCACAGAAAGGGCAGGTTCATGCAAGCAGCTTAGCACCATCGTGTTTCCAGAACTGGAGTACTTACTACGGGGATGGAGCAGAGACACTGATTTAGACAGTGAGAGAGACTGAAGAAGGGAACGGCCACTGTGGAGCACACCATCTACAGAGCAGGGACAAATCCTTTACCGTTACAATCCAGAAGAGTAAAGAGGCTAAACTAGGCTGCAAAGGGAGATGGGCCAGATACATAAGGAGGAAAACTAATAAATACATGTCCCCTGATATATGTAATTATCAATTTTGAACTTAATACTATTCTGTAGGTAATAGAAAATGTACTTTAAAGAGTTTGAAGGCCTTATTTTACTACTATTGTTAAAGCTCCTCAAATTAAGTTCCTCAAATTAATCACCACCCTTATCATAAATAGGCTGAGCTGCTAAGAGAATAAGCTACATGTCCAAAATAATGCAAGTAAAAATGTGCAAGTACCACGCTCAGGCAGTTGGACAAATTCTAATAGGATAGATGCCATCCATCATTGCATATTCAAAAACATCCCCCTTCTCAAACTCTTACAATGTGGAACACATGTCCATCTTGGTGAGGTTGCCATCACCACCTTAGTACTGTTCCTCTCTATCTAAAGTCACATACCAAAGGGAGGACAGGATTGGGTTTTGTTTTATGTATACAGCATTAAACAATAAAGTTGTCACCAATGTACTCTTGGTTCACATAAAGGCATGGAAGTAACAGGGAAGAGAGAACATCACATATAAGAATAAAAAGGAATGAAAGACTATTCTATCTTTGTATAGTGGTATTACAGTTACATACAGGAGTTTCACACTGGGGCGAAAGGAGACTTAAACTGTTTAAATAGAGAAAATTTTTATAACTATTCAAAACTCACCAAAGACGACTTCAGCAAAGCAAATTATCAATTTGCCTCTCATTAATCTAACAATGAGTATCTTTCTAGTCAAGTTTTCACACCTGTGCTTTGATCACACACAGTTAAAATTAATCTTCCTTAAGAGTAAATTTATTCTTCATAGTCTCTTGGTTTTGATTGACTTAAATGGCATCAACAAATGTTTGCAAACATACATGAATATCCATTAGACTCTGTACATTTAGTGTGAAACCTCAACCTAAATTACCTGTTTGCAATTCTTGCCTTCTGGGAAATAATAAACTTCATTAAAATAGCCCTATCTTGAAATACACTGTCTAAAGATAAGGTTTTCCTCATAGAAAAACCAAAGGCTTTTCATGTCACAATTTATTCCTTTAAATTCAAATGCAAAGATTTAAGGATTGCATGTAAGTGGAAGATGCCTCCTTTTTTACTCATTAAAAATTTCATAAATCAGCTCTTTTCCCTTATAAAAAATGAATTCCATCTCAATCATCTCATCAATAATTTAACACTTCAGAAATGTCTGATTTTAAAAAATATACATACTGCAGATATAAAGGCAAGGCTCTCATTCTACACATTGCACAGTACACTTGAAGGTGTTTTCCTAATAGCTGAAGCATGAAGTTAATTGCCCATCTAGGAGCTACCAGGGAAAAGATGTCAAGCTCGGTGAAAGGAATCCCAACTAAAACAAAGGCTAGGGAGACACAGGGATCCTAGAAACTCATGAGATGGAAAAAAAAAAATCCAGGGTAAGTGCAACCGAGTTTCTTTTTCTGTCCTCTCAAGGCAATTTTATTCTTTCTTAACCTTTCCTCCATCAACCAATTCTAAAAATTAAACTTGACACATTTGTTAGCCATCTTGCTTTTTCCTCTTCCAGTAAGACTTTCCAGAGAGAGAGAAAAGTATGCCTAGTAGCACTTGTTGTGTACTTTATCAATCTTACCTAGTTTATTCCTTCAAAAATTTTTATTAAACACCCCCCCATACAAGTCACTGCTTTAAGATTACAGTTCCAAGTACAAATATTATGTTTTCAATATTGTTCCAAATAGTATGAAAATGCAAGAAAGCACTGTAATAAAACAAGAATAAGAAATATGGAGTAAATTCAGTCCCATTTTAATTCATGTACAATGGTTAACTGAGAAGTGTATCTTGTGTTTTATAAGTCTTTCACGACTCTTAAGGATAATGGACAAGAGGGGCATTATCAAACAGATTGACAAAAGCTTTGTGACAATGCTATATGTTAGAGTGCCATGACATGACATATACATGCCAATGTAATTATTACATGATATATTATATACAGAAAGTATGAAATTATCATTTTTAAAACAAAGTTGAAAATGGGGATGTTGACTGAGTCAGTATGGACAGTTCTGAGTTGTTTGTAATTGTTCTATATATTGACCTGAATTCACTTTTGAAAATTCATCAAATACCCGCTTTCTGTAGGTATCCTACAGAAAGTATGTGAATTAAAATTGTGTGTGAATTAAAGGTATGTGAATTAAAATTTTATTGTATAAAAGTCATATTTTTAATTCCTTACACTGCCACAAAAATGTTGAGGTATTTGCTCATGTCTCAAATTTGCTGTTAGTCAACTCTCTGAAGCCCCTTGCTAAAGAAAGGAAGAATATTCATTTGGTAATGACTCCAACAACTCCAAGAGTTGTATTATTTCAGCAAATTATCAATAGACATAGGGCAAAAGTATTTTTTAAATAAAATCCTTCAATACCCTCACAGCGATGAACCTAAATAATTTCTAGTTTACACTAGCTTTGAAAAAAACAGTTACTCTAAGAATAAGGCAACAGAGAATACATGTTTATAATTTCATCAAAATCAAATCTATAACTTGATTAATGAGCCAATGAGAAAATGATTTTACTAACCTACGAAAAATCAATTTGAAAATAGAATTGAAAATTCTTGCTGGCTAGGTTTATCATAACTGCAAATCTGCTCTGGAACAAAATTCTTTTGAAGTCAAATGGTAAACAGTTCTTACTTACCTTCACTTGAATTGCACACTGTAAAATCACGCACCAAACGAGATTTTCCCAAGGAAATTTTGGGTGATGAGCAAGAATAAGAACGTGAGCGGACTCCAGAAAGTAATGATTCCTAAAAGGGATCAAAATAAAAATAAATTCTCCACAAAATTTGATAGTACTGTTGACTATGAGTACTACTAAATCAGCAACTTTGAAAAAATTTAATACATACATTTCTGATATAACTTTATTAATGAATTGTTTCTGCTTGCAACTTGCAATTTTAAAAATGTTATTTTTTAAATGCTTTAGTAAACTTTAGCTTTTGGGAACAATCATATATATTGTAGAATACAGTTATATTCCAATCAAGTAGGTAAAAATGAAAAGTTAAATCATACGACTTTCTCTGCATATTCAACAATGAATTTGACATTTTTTTCACCTGAGTTGTAAGTTTCGTTCATTTATACTACAGTGTTTAAACAAAAATCTCTATTAACTGATTCTCTACAAGTAATGATTATTAGAAGGTAGTGGAATAATAACATAAATTAATAGTTTTTTAAACTTCCAAACAGTATTTAATGTTTTAATGTTAGAAATGCTGCTAATAGGGAAGAATGCACTAGGTCTATATACAAATCCTTCAATTCTGTGTTCAACTTTTTATAGGCCTTCCCTCTAGCACTTCCTAGAAGAATGTTTTAATACCACTGACTTATATTTCTTTTATTCCTTTTTTAAAACCTGCCATTTTTGTTTGTTTTCCCAATTGCGTATTATTTCTATGGTTATATTGGCAACATATGTGAAGATACAAGATGGCAGAAATGTGGTTTTCTTGTATGTTCTAAAAACTTAAATGAATATACAAATGAATGCCATTGATGTCACTTATGGCACTCAATTTCCATCTAACAGTAGCCTAGAGACATCAGAATTCATCCCATTCATCCATTTTTAAGACACCACCTTAAGGAAAGGGTTAAAAGAAAGTAACGCCAAATTTGTTACTAAAATTAAGCCATCAGCAAGCCCTGCACAAGCACTGCCCTCTTTTGTTCTCCTTAAGTGAAAACACATGGTCATCCTAGGTTCATTGACTTAGTTAAAGAGCCTGGAGGAAAGTTGAAAACAGAAGCTTGATCCTGCTTCAGAGGGTCTTGGGCTGTGGGCCTCTGACTTTCTTGTGGGGGAGACCCATGACCTGGTTGTCAGGAAGGCCAGCCTGAGCTGTCCTATATCCCTAAGGGGAGCTGGCCCCCAGGGACCCTAGCCAAATGCCATCCCCTGCATTTAAGTCATGTATGGTAATCACTTTTCATAATAATGGGACTTTGGAAATCATCCAGAACCCTTTGGCAAAAAGCTTCACAGGGTAATTAGAGAGGCAAAGCAGGATTTATATGATAGGACAGATTCTTCTTAAAGTTGAACAACATGGGACTATTTCACAAAGATTGAATCACTTTTTTTCCAAGTAAGGATGAGTTTTTCACATTCAAAATGCAAAACTAAGAAGTGTCTACACTTAACCATATCCACTTCTTAGTAGCCAGAAATATCACGTGATCTTCAAGCTCACAAGAGTATGACAGCTCTCCAGGCCTCAGACCTGAGGAAAGGGGCTCTGGATGTGTGGCCAGAGGGTCTGAGTGCTGATTCTGACCAGGCTTGGGCAACTGGGACAAGACAGTCTCATCTGCTCAAAAATTAAAAGTATTACTTATGTCCTAGGTGAGTTTTGAGAAAATTAATTATTCTGTACATATATAAAATGTTTTGTAAATAGCAGAGCATAAACAAAATTAAAGCATTATAACAACCATATGTGCACACTTGAGACACTTGGGCATAGCTTTGTTGTTTCACAGCAGTAAACGCAAACTGAAAAGAAATAAGCAGACAATAATAGAAACTGAAAAGGAAGGAAACATATGGCCAAACAAAAAGGGATTTCTCTGCAAGACTGGAAGAGTTAAGTTTAAAAAAAAAAAAAGGCCACAAAAATGAAGGTCTAATATGAAAATGCTAACCAGAGAAAAGTTGTCTCCTATGGAAAAACTGACAAGTTTCAGGTGTTTCATATCTGTTCATGCAGCCAGAAAAGCTCAACAAACGTCATCTCACCCTTAGTAATATTATTTGCCTCATCACCTGAGTCATATTTTATGTGAGTAAATTTGATCACTTAACCCCATATAATACTACTAAAATTTTCCAAATATGTGAAAAGTTGCAGGAACTGGTGGTAAATAAATGAAAACATAAATGAGCCCTTGTAGGTGAGGACTATACAAAGTAAACACCATGAGAGAGATGAAAAAGACAGACTCATTCAGACAGGCCGTGGGCCTCAAAAAAGAAAAAAAAAAAAGCTTGCATGTATGAGTAAAGCATCATTTGTCTTGCAAATAGATATATTTAGCCAACTTATTTTCTCACTTAATATAAACTAAATGAACACTGAATTAGAATACCTTCGACTGCAGGTTACTTGATAAAGAAAGTGATTCAGTCCTGGAGATACTAAAGTCTGGCTCAGTGGTGGTCTCGAAAGAGTCCATTTCATCCCCACTAGGAATCCCAGTTCTAGGGGAACTCTGCAACCCCGGAGTGTAACCAACGTGTGACTTTTCGGGATGTCCTTCCCCTTCGCTGTCGACGTCCAGGGCATCAAGGCTAGAACTGAAGCACAAAGCAAGCAAGCAGGTCACCCACAGAGAAAGGAAATGGACTAAGTCACTGGCTTCTGTTTCTCTGAATTCAAATTCTCTCACTGGTGTCAGAAACAACAGGTATTCATTTAATTTCTAATGAAATTTATATTTAAGTATTCTTATTGCTCTTTCCCTACCCCCATGCCTTCTCTTTTAAAATAAAAATTAAGGGCCTCCCCTGGTGGCGCAGCGGTTGAGCCCTGGGCTGAGAAGCTGCCCCCAGGCTCTGTAGCGCCAGTTCGATCCCTGACCGCAAGTGAGGGTCCCACATGGCATGATAGACCTCTTCTGTCTCGCCCACTGCTCCCCTCAGCAGTGTATTTCGTCAGTCTGCCTGTTCTGTTCCCCGCTCTATCTCTGGTGAATTCTCTTACCCTCCCTCGCTTCTGACTGTACCCAGTGCTTGTATAAATAAGTCTTTATAATAAAAATTTATGTTCCTCCAGATAAACATTTCTACCTAAAAGTTGTAGCGGCGGGATGGCCACAGAGCAGGATTTCTATGATTCGAGCAGACGGGGTAAAAAAGAAGTCCTGGAGCCCTCAGTGGCTTTTCAGGCTTTTATTGGGATTTACCAGGTACACGGCTGACAAGGGGTGTCGGGGCTGGGAGGCCTGCGAGCCAGCAAGTCTTCACTCTTTCTGGGCTCTCCGGCCTTCTCTCGCATTCTCTCTGCTTCTCTCGTGGTTCTGCTGGCGTCCCCATGACACCACCGTTATAAGCTCAGTCTCTCAGCCCAGGTGTACCCACTGACACATGCCCACACCCCACTCCAGGTGCCCGCCATCAGGCATGCATTCAGGACTGCAGAGATCCATCATCTATCCTAATGGTGGAAGGGCAGAAAAGCCTGATGCTTTTTATTTACCCTACAAAAGTCATTTTGAGTACTCTAAGGAAAAAAAGATTGTCTAATAGTCTCATCTGCTTATTTTGGCTTTTGTTTTTCTTGTCTTTGGAATCAAGTCTCCAAAGACATCTCTGAAATCAATGTCTCTGCGTGTTTTGACTGTTTTCTCCTATATGTTTTATAGCCTCCACGCTCATATCCAAGTCTTAATCTATTTTGAGATAATTTTTGTGCATAGTGTGATTTAGTGGTCTAGTTCCATTCTTTTGCACAATTTTCCCAGCACCATTTGTGGAAGAGACATTGCTTTGTCCATTTCTCCATTGCACACTCTTTGCTCTTTTGTCATACATTAACTGCCCGTGTCAAGTTAGTACTATCCTCACAGTAGTGTCCTCTTTTGCAAATGTAATTAGTACGAACCCCAAATAGTTACCGTTCAAATATCTAAAATGCAGATTTACCGCCATAGGGCTGCTTGGGGATCCTCTGGAGAGGTTTGCATGTGAAAATACACAGCATGGTATTCTCTATGCAGCCCGCCTGGCAGAAAAGGTCAGGATAGGTGGAGGGACATATAAGTTATGCAAAGTCCTCATCCCAGATTTAGTGTCAAGACACAGGTCAAACATGAGTCAAGCAAGGTCCCAAATGTGTCATATTATCATTTTTCGAAATATTTATAAATGATTCTCATGAGAAATCCACTTCAGAAACAGGTAGTAATTCTGCTCAACTACTGTTCTTTCCTCCTTTAACTTTAATAACCATAAAGTTAAAAGGAAAGAACTTGACCTCCCACATTCCTGGCTCATTCCATAATATTTGCATCTTAAATCTCAAACTGAGACAATGGCTTTCACATGCATGTTAATACACAATGCATTTATAAGTGTATTTTTCTTTTGATTATACTGTGAGAGTTACAATTTTATCAATAACACGAGAAACAATCTAGATTTTGAAATGTAAAGAACCAGAAAATGAAAATATAAATAACCATTTGCGTTATTTTTCTTTAAAAGAACCATATCTAATAGCCACTGAATATCAGCTTATTAAATGATGTGAAGCTTGGAATAGAGATATGACATATGTATTATTCATATGTGTACATATATACTATATTAGTCCTTGAAATAATTCCTGAACCCCACACCCCACACACGCCTCTACCAGCCCTGCTCCCCTGCCTCCAAGCTGTGACATGTTACAGAGGCTTCTAATTACCTTTATTCAGACTGGATAGCTTTCCAATATTCTAAATGGGCAAAACCCTATCTGCAGTAGTGAGATGTTTAAACTTCCCAGGGCAAGACCATGAACACAAAGTATAATTTAGATAGCCCATGAATGTTTGCATAAGCAGAACAGAGGAGGCATTGTGTCTTTCCTTCATCTATTCCTAGAGTGGTTCCTGCAGAGAAAGTATTCACTTCTCCTAGGTCACACAAGCCATAGAACTTAATTGCCCAGAATGCTCTAATCACACACAGTTTTTTGCAGAACTCTACGGCACCTATCCTGCGCTGGTAGCCTCTGGTCCCAAGCACATATGTGGAGAGTAATCACAGCCCTGCATCTTTAAAACCGCAAATCACTAAGTGGAAATCTAAAGAAACTATTTTATTATTTATATATCAGACACTACTTGTGATACCAATACCTATTCAAGTTTTACAACCTCAAGTGACTGTTTATCACTGCAAAGTACAACAGAGATGGGTGCCTGCTGATCACTGATCATCTGCCTTTTTCTCCTTTCTAATCAATTAGATCTCTGCTGAATAGTCATTCATCTAAGCTCATTAGATATTCATTCATAGATTTTGATTCATGATTTTATTTATTTTTTTTGTTTTTAATAGAGGCATGTTTTATTTATTTATTTGTTTGTTTGTTTTTTTATACATGCACTGGGTACAGTCAGAAGCGCGGGAGGGTGAGAGAATTCACCAGAGCCAGAGCGGGGAGCAGAACAGGCAGAAGGACCGAAGTACACTGCTGAGGGGAGCAGCGGGCGGCAGGAGAGGTCTGCGCGCCATGTGGGACCCTCCTCCAGTGGCTGGGGAGCAGCCGGGGATCGAACCAGCGCCGCACAGGCCGCGGGCAGCTTCGCAACCCAGCGCTCAACCGCTGCGCCACCGGGGAGGCCCTTGATTCATGATTTTAAATGTATAGCTATTGTCATGAATTCAGTTTCAATACTGTACAGCATTCCATTGTGTAACTGCATCTTAACTTATGTATTTCCCATTTGGGTTCTTTCCTGTGCTGTAGATACTCATGTATCTGTCTCCTAGGACACTGAAGTAAAACTGTTGGGTCATAAGATATAAGCAAATCCAACTTTGTAAGATAATACCTAATCATTTTTAAAGTTGTTATTTAATTTTCACTATCAACTGTAATAGGATTTTCCATTGTATGCATTTTCTTGGTGGAAAAGTTTATTGTCAAACTTTTAATTTTTTGCATACCAAGAAAATGTCTCATCATGATTCCCTATAATTTTTGTCAGTTTTTCTAAATGTCTTATTTTCAAATCAAGGGATAAAGAAACCTAAAAGGAGGCAATATTTTGAGACAGATTAAAAATAGAACAAAAAAATAGGATTTTCCAAGTCTAGCTATAAGGTTCTTTCATTTTCTTTAATTTTCTTCTAGAATACTATATCTTACCTTCTTTTCTTTAGATGACTTTGTTCCTTTTCAAATCCATGAAGACCAAAAGATAAATTCAAATTGGAAGCGTATGAACTAGATGGTGACGTGAATGGCTGCTGGGCATCAGGGTTTGATGTCACATTCTTATTCTCACTTAGTGGGTACATGCCAGGGTTGGTTTCAGGAGGAAGGATGTGCTTGCAGCTCTGAGGCCCCAGGGTAGAACCCATGGATTCAGGGCAGGAGTTTGTAGAGATGCCCTCTATATTAATATAGTTAATATCCAAGTCACCAACCTAGTTATTGAAAGAAAAATATTTGCTGAGCACAAACAGGAAAGATTGGCTTAGTTAAGAATAAAGTTTTCTCCACTACATGATATGCACATCAAAGACATCTTTACAGATACATCACCCAAAGCAGTGATAGTGAAGGCAAAGATAAACAGCTGGGACTACATCAAATTAAAGAGCTTCTGCACAGCAAAAGAGACAATAACAAAAACAAAGAGAAACCCCTCCGACTGAGAGAACATTTTTGCACACAACACTAATGATAAAGGACTGATCACAAAAATCTGCAAAGAGCTGATGAGACTCAACAACAACAAAGAAAATAATCCTGTCAAAAAATGGGCAGAAGAGCTAAAAAGAAACTTCTCTGAAGAGGAAATGCAAATGGTCAATAGGCATATGAAAAAATGTTCAACATCACTTGTCATCAGGGAAATGCAAATCAAAACTACAATGAGATACCATCTTACACCAGTGAGAATGGCACATATTAAAAAAAACTAGCAACAACGAATGTTGGCGAGGTTGTGGAGAAAAAAGAACTCTCCTGCACTGCTGGTGGGAGTGCAAACTGGTCCAACCACTATGGAGAGCTGTGTAGAGATTTCTTGACCTACTAAACATAGAGCTTCCATATGATCCAGGAATTCCACTCCTAGGTATTTACCCAAAGGACACAGAAACATCAATTCCAAAGAGCACCTGCATCCCTATGTTTATAGCAGCACTATTTACAATAGCTAAGCTTTGGAAACAACCCAAATGCCCAAAAATAGATGACTGGATCAAGAAGATGTGGTACATATACACCATGGACTATTACTCAGCATTCAAAAAAGATAAACACATGCCATTTGCAGCAACATGGATGGAGCTGGAAGGGATCATGCTCAGCGAAATAAGCCAGGAATAGCAGGAATCTAGAAAACTTAAATAAGGGACCAGGAAAAAGAATAACTATAAGAAAGAAAATATCAAAATCAACAAACAACTATGAACCAGAGACACTCTATGGGGGGTGGAGTGGGGAAAGGAGGGCTTGGGGTCAAAATAAGGCGGTTGTAATTGTATGGGGAATATAAAAATAAAATTTAAATAAAAATAAAAAAAGAATAAAGTTTTCTCAATTTTAAAACTTTCTGCATATTTCTTTTATTTGTTCTTATTTTTGCTTTGTTTTGGTTTATGGAAACAAAGAATTCTTTCATGGTATGTTTTCATTCACCTGGCTACTATCCCCTAATTCACAAAAAGGAAAAGGATCAACTTTTTATGTGTCTTATCAATATGAAGTTATTCTTTAACATTTTATGAACCACTGACTAAAAAAAATGATGGAACTCCTTGAGAGAAAAACTAAAGAGTAGGCATCTTTATTTTAAAAAGTAGTTTATAAGAATCTGGGTACTGATGGTCATGTAAATGTGAGTCTCCCCAAACTAGTATCAAACAACATAAGAACAAACAAACTATATGTACCTAGTAATACCAGAAGACAGGAAATGCCCAAACTTCCAATTGCCTGTAAATAACAAACTAAGTCAAATCTCAGCAACTTGTCATATTCTCCTAAAAGCTTTTGCTTAGTAAGGACAGTCTGGACATTGTCTATGGCCAAGGGAAGAGGGAGTTAGCAGAAGTCCTAAGGCTGATCAAAAACCAACACCTGCAAAAGAAAGTGCATCCTGCATATGTCAGAGTCCTGGATGACCCAAGTGCTTCCAAGGAAAGGCGCTAATAGGTACTGCTGATTTGAGGTGGAATCATCAAAATTCATCACATCTTAAGTAAAAGACAGCAAAAAGAAAGACAGTGACACATCGGGTAGTGAGGGGAAAAGAAGCAAAGGAACTTTTAGGTTCCAAAGTCAACTATCACAAAAATAATTTACTAAAGCAAAAATAATCAGTGAATGCTCACATTAGTGTGAGAGAACTAAGTAAGTGCATAGGATAGCTACAGAAACACAAATTCTTTCCCCACTAAAAAGAAAAACAGTAATTTTACTGAGAAGAAACTTAGTAGAACAAGATATGTGACCAGTAAGGGGACAAATTAATACACTCAGAAGAGCACAAGATCACTCCTTTAATATTCCTGCCAACCACAGACCAAGAAACTAATGAGGAAATGTCAGACAAATCAAAATGAAGGACATTCCAGCAAAAACAAAAACATCATATGTATTTTTCAAAATTATCAATGTCATAACAAAGACTAGAGGACTATCCCATATTATAGGAGACTAGAGAGATAGACAATTAAACACAACACGTTTTCTTTTTGCTAAAAAGAACATTACTTGGACAATTGGTTAAAACTGAATGATGTCTATAGACAGCTAATATTACTGTGTTGAAAATGACTTCCAGGGCTTCCCCTGGTGGTGCAGCAGTTGAGCGCTGAGCTGTGAAACAGCCCCCAGCCTCTGCAGCGCCAGTTCGATCCCCCACCTCTGGCGAGGGTCCCACATGGCATGATAGACCTCTCCTGCCGCGCCCACTGCTCCCCTCAGCAGTGTATTTTGGTCCATCTGCCTGTTCTGTTCCCCGCTCTGGCTCTGGTGAATTCTCTCACCCTCCCGCGATTCTGACTGAACCCAGTGCTTGTATAAATAAATAAATAAATCTTTAAAAAAAAAAAAAAAGACTTCCATATTTTGTTACTTACATGAGCTTCTATATGAGAGAATGTCCATGTTTTTATTTTTATTTTTTTTAAAGATTTATTTTTATTTATTTATACAAGCACTGGGTACAGTCAGAAGCGTGGGAGGGTGAGAGAATTCACCAGAGCCAGAGCGGGGAGCAGAGCAGGCAGAAGGACCGAAGTACACTGCTGAGGGGAGCAGCAGGCGGCAGGAGAGGTCTGCGCGCCATGTGGGACCCTCCTCCAGTGGCCGGGGAGCAGCCGGGGATTGAACAGGCACTGCAGAGGCTGCAGGCAGCTTCGCAACCCAGCGCGCAACTGCTGCGCCACCGGGGAGGCCCGAGAATGGCCATGTTTTTAGGAAATATATACCATGAAAGATGAGGGATAAAGGAATACCATATTTTAAATTTACTCAGAGTAATAAAGTACAACATATGAGCAATTTTGGTGAAACAACAACATTTGAGAAATTTTGATGTGGGTCACATAGAGATTTGTATTTAAACTCTTTACTATGTGTTTCTGCTAAATTATGCTAAATTAAACTCTCTACTAAATTATGTATTATGTATTACTATTATTGACATGTGAAAATAAAATATTTTTTCCAAAGTAGCTAACATGACAGAATATTTTTTCAAATTTTCAAAGTAGTTTTTATCATGAATTACTTCATCTGGTAGATTGACAGCTTTAAAAATCAATGGGAAACAGCACTGCAAACAAACCAGCCTTTATTTAGGTTTCTTGAGGGTCTTTGTGGAAATCAGGTAAGATTCTTTCCAGATACTGCTAGAAATTATTTAAATATACAGAACCTGGGGCCTCATGCTGCCCTTGATATTCCAAGGGACATATACATGAATAGCAAGAAAAGCTATATGGTAACGACAATGTGTAGATGTACTAAACTTTGTGATATGTATCCAGATTTTTAGTTTTATTTATGTTTCAATCCACAAAGTCAGGATTTTTTTGCTACATTTTAGTTTTACCAATTAGTTTGAGTTGTATCTCAAATATGATTCACATTGCTAAAGCGGCACTTCCCTTACCTGAAATATTCCCAAACGGTAATTATATCCTAACTTCATCTTTGGTTTGGGAAGTTTTACATTTGTAATACATCTTAGAACATATAAAAACATAATTTTCTCCCACATAGTATTAAGCCATGTACCATTTAGCTACTGGAGTAAATGGAAATATTGTAGTATTCACTGAGGCTCAGAACAGTAACAAAAAAGACAGAAGTATTTCATTTAAACTGCTGAGAATATAGCTGATGCTCACTCTTATTTATGGATTCCCTGTCATTTTGAATATCATCCAACCTGCCTCATATATAGGCATTTGGTATAACAATGTTTCAAAACACAAAAGCAAAAAAGCCAAGATATTGGACTAAACTGAAATTGAGGTTTACTTGATAGGAAAAAAAGTATACTACAGAAAACATCTACAAGTAAGAGGGTGTGATAAATTTATACTAACAATAAGTAGAATACCTATTGTTCAAAGGGCACACACAAGGTGCACCATATATGGGGATCTGGTTTCAAAGTCAGTAGATAAGACAGAAATTGTGTGTTGTCAAAATTACCTTTCAAAATCCCTTAAGTCTCCCATAAATTAAGGAGTACAGAGTCTTCAGATCTATTTATGAATACTAAAATTTGAGATCACTGAGCTAGAGAAAAACAGAGCAAATCCATACGTCCATGCACATTGGTATCATCTGCCTTTGTGAGATTTAACTTACTGAAGCCTATTAGAGAATGTGTGGGGAATTTTTAAAGCTCCCAGCTTCTTCGTAACATGACACCATTCTTTTTCAATGTTAAAGCTCTCCAACCTCAGTACCTGTTAACAGGTGTGTTGGAAGGATTAAACAAGTAATTTATGTGACAGCATCACATGGAGCTGGCACCAAACTCTGGCTTATAATCATCTGTTGACTTTGAATACAAATATTGTTTAATCAGATTATATATACACTGTTCCTTAAAAAGCTGTGAAGAAGAAACTGATCCATGAATAATCATTTCCTACTTTAGACCCATTTCATTTGGCAATGACTCAAGACCTCCTACATGCAGTATTTCACAGTGGGGTAAGTTGCGCCATGTTCTGAGAGAAGGACCAAGTTAAATGCTGAGATGATAATATGCTACACCATTACCTGAGCAGCTAATAGGCTGAAATTTTCAGAGAGCCACAACAATGCTGAATGTATTTCTCATATGCTCAGATTTTAGAACAAAGACCGATCCATCCTGTCACATCAGTCACGCCTTACCTGATCTATAACCATACAGTTAGCATAAACTTCATCACCACCATTCAGCACATCAGAAAGCTGGCCAGTAGCAAGGAATGTGGGTTGATGCTTGGATTTTTTGAGGACATCAAAGGAGCGATCTAGTAGAAAAGTGAAACAATGAAAATATAAGTACAAGGAATTTATTTTACAGTTGAATTTCACCTCCTTAATCCAACCACAAGGGGAAAAAAAAATGAAGATCGCATTTTCTTAAAGATGGCATTTTGCTGTCTTCACACATTAAGGTGTACATGCCAAGTATTTTCTATATCCAAACCTTCTCAGTTATCTAAAGCCTTCATAAAAATATAGATACACATATGCCCATTTCAAGCACTGTTTCTCCAATCATGAGAGATTTTTGTAAAAATCAATTAAGTTTATAGACTTCAATCCTAATATTAATCTAAAATTCATTTCACTTCATCAATACCTCAGAAGCATTAACAGTTATTTGCACTGTGATTCTCAGGCTCCCCTGGAGCCTTTAATGAAACTTTAATGAAACTCCATGATCCTTTAATGAAAAGATCCAGATGATACAAAGTCTAGAAGTTCTGGTTCTATACTGCCTTCTGAATGTGAACAGTCATACAGAAAAAGTTTTGTTCTATTTTAATTATAGGAAGCTTTTTGCTTGCTTCTACAAGCTCAGCTTTGTTCCAAATAGATGAGGTTGCTCAAAGTTGAGTCCCAGAGATTTGTAATGTTACTGTGTTTGTAGGGAACATAAAGTTGAAGGCAATAAAATAAAGTCAAGTCAGAATGCATCATTTCCTGTAACTTTGGCTGAATTAATGAATCTCTAGATAAACTTTACAGAGTTTTCTCATCCATGAAAGGTGGATTCTTATTGTGTTTTAGTCATAGTATGGTTTGCGGATTAAATAAGTTCACTTATGCAAAGTGATTAACACATGCCTAGCACTTAGTAAGAGTTCAATGAATATTAACTGTTGCTATTATGATATTTTGTTTTTATTAGTAGTGATTTTTAACCATGATCAATGTGAGGTTCAAGATTATTAACACTAATCATGAAAAGCTAAACTAGTAATAATTAACATCTATAAATGACAATAGCTAAGTTATATCCATAGCAAATGTCATCCTTACTGACATTCCAGTAAGTTGTCTTCAGTGGGTACAAAAGAGAGACTATTGCCTCTAATCTATCACCTGCCTTATCTATGACATAGTGTAAAAGGCATGGAAGTGAATCAGGAAAAGAAAAAAAAGATTATTAACTGTTGGACCAGTGTACCAGAAATAAAAAACAACTCTGTTCCTTTATATATGTTTTATAAGTTACAAGGATATGTGAACTACATGAGCCAAATATGGCTTAGGATTCTGCCACTAAATCTCCCTCTTCCCCAGAATATTACAATGAGATTTTATTAGAGTTCTCAAGGAAATATACAATACAAATGGAAAACATTATCTTCTTATAGTCATAGTCTTCTTTACTTAAGAAGTTAAATAGCTAGCAATGTAACATACAAAGCCCACAAATACTTCACAAGTATAACCTTTATGATCAATTACTATTCATTATCACCCTAATTACACTAAATAAAGGTTCATTCCAAAGGTTATAAATCAAAATCCTGACAAAACACTTTCATTGTGTTTGTGCTCACATGTCATTTTACATATGTTTGAAAAACAATCATAAATAATAGAGCTCTCTAAAGTGTAATTAATCCCGCTTAACTTCTCTACAATATCATGAATTCACAGACTGTAAAACACTTGACATTTCTATCATCACACTCGGGAGGCTGTTTGCACCCCTTTTTAATCCCTCCATCATTGCCAGATTAAGGCTTCACTGATAACTAGACTAAGAACTAATGAAATAGTCAAATGAAGCAATTCTAAGTAATTGATAGATTTCATTTTAAAAACAGAACCAAAGGCAATATTACCCCAAACTGACTGCTGCTAGTGAATGCATCTATCAGTCACCCAACAACCATGTTCTCATAAAGCAAGAAAGTGAGTTCTGTGTGCAGACCTCTGACCCTATACTTCAAGGATGAGCAAGACCAGGAACTACTTCTGTTTTTACACACACAGGTAAAAGTTACTTGGACTTGGGCCTCCCTGGTGGTGCAGCAGATTGAGCGCAGCACTGTGAAGCTGTCCCAGCCTCTGCAGTGCAGGTTCGATTCCCAGCCTGCCAGAGAGATACCCACGTGGTGTGGCAGACCTCTCCTGTCTCGCCCACAGCTCTCCTCAGCAGTGTTTTCGGTCCTTCTGCCTCCTCTGCTCCCAGTTCTTTCTCTGGTGAATTCTCTCACCCTACGCCTCTGACCTGTACCCCAGTGCTTGTATAAATAAATAAATCTTTGAAAAAAATAAAAGTCACTTGGATTCAATTTTTCTTCCACAGACAAATCTACCTAATGCTACATGGTAGCTCAGAATCTGTAAGGAGATCATACCCAAGCAGTAAAGTAAACTAAAAGATGAAGGAGTTTCTTTGGTTACTTTGGGGTTTAATTTGTTTTCTGCATGGTTAATTTGATCAGTGGTTTAGAAATGATGTAATTTATTTACAAAAATAGGTCCATAATCTACCTGCAATTCTGAAATCCAGAAATCTCTAAAAATTAAAACTTTTTTTCATAAATTTGGTTCAAAAACATTTTGATTGTGAAATCGAAGCTGACCCACATAAGGCTGTCATATAGTCTCTATTTACTCCCCTTGATGTGAATGTTCGTATGTTTGCTCCAGAAATATTCCAGTGCTTCGTGATGGCATTGCCCAAGTGTCTCCTATAGGGGACATATTTAAAGTAAACGCTATGCCAAAAAGACCTGAAAAGTCTAAATTTTAAAACAACTCTGGTCCCAAGAGGTTCAAGAAGAGATTATAGCTCTCCATTAACCAGAGCACATATCAGACCAGTATTTTCTATTCAACTACCAAGTTCACAGTTGTTCCCTATCTACTCACCACCTGTATTATTATATTATATTCCCCAGTACTTGTCTTTAGATTCACCTTTTTTCCTTAAATAAAATTTTCAAAGAATTAACTGACCATGCTTTAAATGGAAAGCCTACATTCCTTGTCCACAGCAGAAGGGTTTAGAAGTACTAAAGTAAAACAATGAAAACAAAACAATGGAATGACATCCTGACTAACCACTGTTGCCCATTAAAGCTAAGAGTCCCTACCACCTTCTCCCTCTGTCATAAAGGAAGATGCTTAAGAAGTCAAGAGGTGTCAAGGTGCAGGTCGTCAAAGTGATTTTCTTCAGCAGAAAGATCAAAAGAAAATTGAAAAGGAAATGCTGCCCTACCATGTGATTCAATGTTAAATAGTGTCCGGTTGAAATACCATCTCAAGATCAATGATGCCTGGAAGATTTTATCTTATACTTTTGGAAAACTTGTCCGGACCATGTCATCATCCTGTCATTTAGATAAAGAGTTAAGAGTCTTATTAGGGGGCTGTGGGGACTTGACTGTACAAAAACACAACACAAAAGTGAGAGGGAAAAATCATGTGTCTAAGATTGTTCACCCATAACCTGCCATATAGATTTGTTGGATCACTCACTGAACTATTTATAAAATTGGCCCCAAAATTCTTCTCAGTGTAGCTCTCAGGAGCATCTACAGCTTCTACTGGCCAAAGAAGCCAAAAAATAATAGGATCTAGAGATGAACACACTCTGACAAACCAGAAGATGACATGCAAGACCTCTGCTTCAGCACTGCAAATAATGGAATTCAAACCAGCAGAAAAAGATTTACTTTGGTAAGAAAAAGACTTCAAAAGTGCTTTCAAATAAACATCAGCTACATATGCTAAAGTGGTTAATTGTTCTAGCGTGTTTCAATTCAGTCAAAGAAATAGCTACAATGGTTTCCTTTTTTAAAAAACTGACCTACTCAAGATTTTCAAGATATATGATTTTTATTACTTCCATCTGTAAGCACTTTTCTAGCGAATTAAGTGAAAAATTATTGCCAAAAATGTTCTTTAGATCCTTTTTTGATGAACACATAGAAATAATTTGCAGTAAGAAAATCCGCTTTTGTCTTAAATTAATGTTGGTCCTTAATAGTCTTAGCAAAAAGTCAAACTTATAGTTTCGTTGCTAGTATTAATTTTTTAACAATTGGTAAATCCATATTTCAGAGATAATATAAATGTAACCAAAACTCAACTCCTATTCAAATGGCCACAAATTTAAAGTTAGTGAATAGCAAGCTATGTATTGTAGTAGTTAAGAGCATGGAATCTTGGTTGTCTGGGTTCAAGACCCCATTCACCATCTATTAGCTGTGTGACCCTGGGGAAATTACTTAACCTTTCTGTGTCTCCATTTCCTGATCTGTAAAATAGGGATAATAGTCTAGCTCACAGAGTTGATGTGAGGATTAAAAGACAGTATTTTAAGTAACTTGAGCATAATCTATACATAAGAACATTATTAAAATAAGTACTATATACATGCTATTATTGTAGAAGGAAAGCAGTTGCACAATTTTGATACTTTTTAAAAATTTTGGTTGTTTAAAAAATGATTTCAGCCTTGATTATAATTTCACATGTTTGAAACCAACCCAAGGCAACTAGAATGCACAAGACATTCCATTTGCTACACGAAGAACTTTTTAAATGTTGTACAATCCTTTTATTTCAGACATAGACCTGGTGAAGAAATTTTGAAAAGTCCAATCTGAACATGGTAACTGTAAAATGAGGTCAAACTGCCAATAAGATTTACTTCCACCAGCTTAAAGATGAGATTCATAAAATAGGAGGTATTATAACTGCAGGACGAACAAAGAATAAAGTCAGACAATCAGAGACAGCATTTCTCACGAACAAAGGGAAGGTTTTAGAAACTATGATGTTCTAACATGACGAAGTGGACTTGAGCCAGGTTCTCACTGCACAGTGCCTAGAGGATAAACAGTTACTCCAAGGGGAGCCCCAGCTCTCCCCTTGCCCATTATTCTCACAGCTTTGTAATGTAATCTGTGGAACTCGATAAGGACTCCCTTAAGCAGAAATTCACACAGGTACTTCCTTGCTATACTAAATGCCCTAGTAGATGAACAGGAGAATC